AAATGTCTGTACTTATCTTTCATGTTTTTGGCACTAACTTTTATTTTATTTTTGTATTGAAAACATTGAACTAATGAGTATTGAAAGATATCAGTGATCACTACTAAAAATATCAAAGATGCACTGGGCTTGAGGAGCATATGCGTTAGTTTCATGAGGATACATATAAATGAGTATGACACCACATATCAACCCAAAACCTTAAGGCATTGAGTTTATGGGGTCCTTTCCACTCATATACCTCTTATCTAACCCATTTTTATTTGACGGGGGACTTTCTTTTCACACTAAGTGAAGTCCACTCACACTTGACAACCCAATAATCTCCTCCTTAAGTGTGAGTTTATCATTGACCACACAAACATGCTCCCCCAATTCGCCCACACTTTGAAGCTATTAATAGCTTAGCTTAATAACATTTATGGGCTTCTAAGGTTTTTTTCCACCGTCTTCACACTGGGTCCCTTTCCAAAACCAAGCTTTGATACCACTTGTTGAGCCCAGGGAGTATATTAGAAGGGGGAGAACATAGCTGGGTCACTCAATGGCTCTAAGAAGACATATATAAGTGAGTATGACATCACATTTTAACCCAAAACCTTAAGGCATTGAGTTCGTAGGTCCTTTTCACTTATATCCTCTTATCTAGCCATATTCCATTTGATGTGAGACTTTCTCTCCACACCAAGTGGAGTCCACTCACACTTGACAACCCAACAAGATGAGTATTAAAGAGATCAAACATGAGTACTGAAAAAATTAACTGAAAAAATTTCAATTCCAGCTAAGGTCGTTGGTCTTTTTGAAAATTTTCAAAATATAAGGTTCTTAATTGTAGTTAATATTCTTAGATGGTCCTTGAATGTCATGTATCCTAAAAAATATAACTTGTTAGATAAGATATACTTGAAACAGAAGGCGAGGCAATTACAGATGGAGTAACAAATAGCCAAATGCTCCAGAAGACTTGTAAATGTTAAAGAAGTGTTCCAGCTCTTAGCTTATCTTTTATAGTGAATCCATCAAAAAAAGCCATGCACCCAATTCTATCCCATAATTATGTAAAGGCAGAGATATGACCTCAGATATTTAATAGTAATTGTTTCTACTGTGAAATTATGTTTAATAGTAAACATAATGGAATGGTCTAATCTATTTGCACCAACTGTATGATTTTTTTTTTGGGAATTCTGAAATGTGGAAGCTGCTGAATTTTGTTTGACCTTTATTTATATTCTTGGTGAATGTTAGTGATGACGCTGGCCAAGTTGATCGAGCAACTTTTGAGACAAGGGAAGTCAGGCGCTGTTTCTTTGCAGGACTGCTTTATTTCACTGTTGGATGTATCTGTGCGATTGAAAGAAGTACAGGAAGGCAAAGGGGAGGAAGAAGAAACTGAAGAATCTGAAAATGAGGAGGATGATGAGGAAAGCGACAGTGACTTTGAAGATGATGATGAGGTTTGCTTTTTTAGTTTCTTCATTTATCTCATATCTCTTAGAAGTATTGTCTATAGCACGTCAGCATATTCTGAGGTTAGGACCTCCTACCTTTTTTTCTGTGTGTAGCCAACTGGGGCGTCTGACTTAGAAGTATATAATTCTGGTGAAACTTGAAAGCGTCATCTAGATGATTGATCAATGATTCAAGACAAGTAACCCAAAATGACCCCTTTGGCCCTTTGTTGTTATGTTCTTTATCAACTGTTTTTTGCTCATCATACTCCATTTGGTGTTACTTCGGTTTGTAATTGAACAAAGAGGAAGGAAATGTCGTGATGTGTAAATGAGGAGAGGGAATTCATGCTTGATTTTTTAATGGCATACAATTTTAAGACTGTAAACACTTGTCAAAAAGTTTTTCGCCAAGACATAGAATCCCAGTGATGGAATAAGAGTATAAAGGGGATGGTCAAACACTAAAGAAAGTGTTTGAGATCCTTGCATTAATGCAACAATGTTGCAAATTAAGGAAGGTATCGGCTAGAAGGAAACTAGGAAAGCAATGAACAAGGCGTTGTCTCGAACTTTTGTGGAGTTCTACTAGGATTTAGGGACAAATAATGGTTAATAAGGAAACGAAATCAAGAGCTTTGGGCCAATGTAACATCTATTGAATAAGGAAAAGCTTTTATTACAGATGAAGATGTTTGAGAAAGATGGGAGTGCTACTTTTATAAGCTTTTCAATGACGGATTGGGCCATGTGCAGCGTTTGCTTTGTTTTCTTATTTACTCTTTAAAAAAAAAATTTCTTGCTTGATTTAGGACTCTGAGGCTGAGGAATATGAAGAAACAGAAGAAGAATTTCTTAGTAGGTATGCTAAAGCTGCCGAGGCATTGGAAAATGGTTCAATCATTGAAGAGGGAGATGTGGAAGATGAAGAACCGGAGACAGAATTAGGTAAGGCTTGAATATGGAATACTCTCTCCAGTTTTATTTATAAGTCATTTCTATCAACCTCATTAATATCAATACAACAAAAGTATAAAGAATAAAATTTTGTGAAATTACAAACATATCCCTTAAAAAGTAAATAAACTATATAATATTATTTTTTTTTTCTTTCTTACTTTTTAAGGATAATTTAGACATTTTATTTAAAACAAAACATTACTATCAATTTAATGACTTATAAAGTGAACCACTTCACCCTTTTACAAAGTGACCAATAAAGTGGACTGGAGACAATTTATTGTTATTTGGTTTTAGTATTACCATAATTAACTTGAATTCATTTATTGAATCAACAAATATTCCTAGTCAAAGAAAGTTAACAAACATCATGCACGCTTAAAAATTGCTTTTGGAAAGTGATGCAATTGACAAAATGACTTTTTACGTACTCATTTTTGGGGTTATATGTTCATGACTAGAGATGAAAAATATGTTTTAAACCATCTGCCGCTGTCTTGGTGGACATTCAGGTCGCTTGATAGACATAGACGAGAAAAAAGTTCTGTCGTCCTTGATAGACAAATATTCTCATGTGCTCATAAATGGACAAGTTCTGTCCTCGCATCTCGTGGGGAAGTTTCTGAATGCTTTTCCTGAGCATGGGTCGTATTTCCAGCAATGGAGATAAGTATGTCGTGATTTCAAAGTTTCAGAGTTGTGTCTTCGTGATAAGTTTCATATGGAAAACCGCTATTTCAAAGAGTGTAAATCGGAAAAAAAGTTTTTCCCCAAGTATTAAATTACAACTAGTTTTATTGTATGATCTTAATATTTTGGGTTGCGATGTTATTTATGGTCGATAGATTTGAGACATCATATTATGAGAAGTGTAAATATGTGTTTTAGAACATTTTCCCCTTCTACATTGCCTTTTAATGATTATCTTTTTTCCCCATCTTTGCTGAAGCTATTTTGCTGGTAGTTCCCTCCAACTTTAAGCCTTGATGTGAGTCTTACTTTGCGCTGCATCATTTATCATTCTTAAAAGATCGCATTTCATCTAGCGTTGCTACATACATTTGTGTAAGCTGCTAGCTTTTTCTTTCTTTCCTTTTTGTTTGTCTGTTTGTCCCTTTTTTTTTTTTTTTGGCCACTGCTAACCCTAAGCTGCTAGCTGTTCACTGGTAATTACTTTTCTATCATAGCTTATGTATGATAGTTACATTTCAATCTTTTTCCCCCCAAAGCTCAATCCAAAAGCAATTTTAGAAAAATCTGGAAGCGTCTATCTGGGTCGCGCAACGAAAAAAAAAAAAAAGTTATTGGTATGATGTCATCTTCATTAACAAAAAAAAAAAATAAATCTGGAAGAGCTCTTTTATGAATTTTTTTTTTTTAAAGGTGAAATTGTATTAGACAGAGAATGATGCACACCTAGTAGGAGGTCCAAACTCGACTGTTTTTCAGCTTTCACCATTTGAAATATGCAGCACTGTGAATCATGAACAAATATCTATATGAAATAGAATTCCTATCAAAGTTTATAGCAATCAGGGATAGAGTTGCATCAAGAAAAGATGTGAAAAAATACTAAAGGTAATTTTTTTGGCACGTCTTTAATTAGTTAAAATAGCACAATCATTAGGTTATGTTAAGTCAATTTAGTATAGGTTGTCCTCCTTTTGACTCAAATTATAAAATATTTTTGAATAAATTTTCACACATCATTAAATTTTAGTAAATACATTTAACTTTTTTTAAAGAATAAATATAAAAATTTTTAAAAATGTCCTCAATTTAATATATTAAAAAATAAAGAGAAAATATACTATTAAAATATATTTATTCAGTAAAACTTTAATATTCTTAAAATATTTTATATTTTATAATATTAAATTTTTTTGAAAGTGTTTTATCATTTAGGATAGATAAAGTAGTATTTCTAAGCATGTTTACTTGTTTTCATTTTAAAAATTATTTTGTAAATCAATTTTTAAAAATTACTTTTTTAAAATAAAACATTACCAAATGGGTTAAATGACCAATTTTTCAAAATAAACCCTAAAAAGGAAACCAATTTTTCAAAGCATCCGTCCAATCTCCTAAATTGTTCTTATTTAAAAAAAAAAGCTAAATGGTTTAAATGATCCAATCCACTGAATTAAATCTGTTTCACCAACTCTTATTAGAATATGTGAGAATATGCCCGCTGAATGTCAACGTGCTACAATATGGCATGAAAATTTCATATGAAATGCTGGACTAAAATGATGCAGAAGCCAGAAGGGAAGAATTTCTAAATAATTCTCTTTTCTGAAAAAAAAAAAAATCTTTGATGCCATCAGATTAGAAAGAAATAAACCAGATAGTTCTTTTGAGCAAATCACATGAAGTTCATTTTTTCATAATTTTGCAATTTTGCCAAATGACAGAATGCTTCGCGACAATTTATTTTTCTTTCCTACATATTAATTAATTTTTCAAGTCATTCATCCAAACACAAAGGCAATACAATATAAATCTACAATATAAGATGCACGCACACGTAATACATAAAATAAGAGAGAATGATAATTAAATTCCAAATAAATGAACTAATGACAGTTTGATCGCCAACAAAATTTTCTACAAAATAAATTATAAATATTAATTCAAACAATTACAAACTAAAATTTCTGTTACAATTTAAAAGTTACATTTAATACTTAAATACATATTTGCATTTGAAACCCCTGAGTCTATGATAATTTAAATTGATATTTTTAACTTATATTTTAAAAAAAATTATTAAAAACTTAACTGTTATTAATTCATTCTTTTAAGACCCCACTGTCATTCTCCCAAAATAGAACCTACGTTTTTGAAAATAAGTGTGCCATTATCCAGCGATCCATCACTTGGAAGTCAAAACCCAACTAATTGGCCTTTTGCTAACTCTACCAGCACACGTTCCCGAATGCCACAAATTTCCTCCTGAAATGCAATAACTCTTGAGTCTAGATCTGGTAAATTTCTAAAAATCAAAATATATTCTAATAATAAAGAAATGTACAAATAGCTAACATAGTGTTCATGTTGGCTCACCGAAGAAAAAGGTACAATTGTCCCGCACATAATAATGGAGGCCATATATGTCAGCACGAACACACCACAATCATGGCTGCATTAGGGACAATTTCATGAAACAAGAAAAGCAATAAATAACAACACCAGTAGTCGGCTATTTAATAAAAGACAATATGAAACTTGCCTCAATCAATATTGTAGTTAACCGGATTAACATGACATACTTATAAATATGCATTAAGCACAGTTCATTATAACCACATCAGTCGAATCCGGACACTCATTTTTGCCAATTGCCTTGTGGTATAGTCACTATTGGCAGATTGTTGCCTTCACTTGCGCCCGATCACGGGTTCGATTTTACATGCCACCAATTATACTAAACAAAATGGACATCCATTTTGGAATTGGAATTCATGTATCTATATATAATATAAAATTTCTGACAAGCCTCAATATTTATAAACCATGATTAATATGATTCATTTTTCATACTCTATGCAATGCATAAAACTCGCTCAAAGTACAAAAACCTCATTGTGCGTGCGTGTATGCAAAATCAAAATATGACAGTACCCATTTACTTGCTGGGGAATATCCTTTGTATAAATAAAATCCCATGAGTCAGAATCCTCATAACCAAGTACAGTGGCACAAATCCACCGCAGCCAATTTCCCTGGGTAAAAGTTATTAGATCCAATTCAACACAAGATTTGGAAAGGTGTGAACCAAAAAAAGTACTATATCAAGTATATAATAGTTTTAGTGAGAATTCGTACCACTTTTCCTGCATCTTTTTTGTGCCTCCCACTATTCAGGGAATCATAAACAGCCACTGTTTGCTTAAGACAATCAGCAACAGCCAATATATAGTGGCGGTTTATCACACACGGTAAAAATAACTGCCACACCAAATTCCACAAACTGAGAATATATATGAATGTTGTACATGAATACAAAGTTAAAAAAAACATGATTGTAAAACTACACAAATTAAATACTCTATGTACATGATGACCAATGACAAACCTACTCGATTGTGGTGACCCTTCATCAATTTTTTCACCCAACAGAGGTCATCTCTATTATTCAACCTTGCCAAAGCTACAACCTGTAATCCATGGAACTATTTTGATCACTATTATCTAATATTAATAACATAGTAACAAGGGTTTAAGAACCAATACCCCAGCATATGGAGAGATAAAAAAATCAGTGTATTCCTTATCAGGGTAGCAGCGAGCCCATTTCATCAGTATTTCTCCATAACAATGAACAACCTGGGTACAAAGCTTAAAAATGATTATGAAAATAGCTTGCCACCAAGTTACAAAATTTTTCATCATACTAGTCGCTTTGCATATCATGATAACCATACGTATATGAATAAAGAACAAGTTACCACGAACATTATTGTTTAGCCATAATTTATGCAAATCCCGATGACCTTTGTAAACAAGGCATTGAATATCCATGGCTAACAAACCAGAGTCTTGCATTGAAGCATCATCGAACCTACAATGTCATAAAAGTAAGTGAGGGCTACGAATTATATCAAATGGACAAATGGCAACAGAAAGTCACACCTTATGGCATCCCCCTCAGTTGTACCAAATGAATGGCATCTCCACCTCTCCAACGCTTCAGACTCCTCTTGATTTAATCTATATGTAATGTGTCTTCGCACATCCTTTCATCCAAAACCATAAAAAGTTAACATCTAAGTAACAAGTACTTTGGGCAAAAGTTGTCCTCAATGCAAACCTTTAAAACGAACTTAAGAATTGTGATTACCTCAACATCCAACCGTGGAGAGAACTTTAGGGTCTGATCTGATTTTTCCTGTGCATGTTTTGACCTTAAATCATACCCTCTTGAAGGTTGAAATGGAGATTTTTGAATATGGCTAGACCTAGGAGCATGTCTTCTTGACTTGTTCCTTCGAACATACAAGCATTGTGGTGCTTTCATCTTGTCTGAATCTGCCATAACAGTTGAATCAAAAGATGCACTAGCCTTATCATCTCTCTGGCATCTATTTTCCTCGCCCTTTGTTTTATTCATTTCTAATTGAGCCTTCATCTGTTCCAAGCTAATGAATTCTTTCGCTAGTGCCACTATCTTATCACACTTCTCCTTGATTATCCTATCATGATGAACAATGCCACAATTAACATTCTCACCAGCAGTTCCCATCTGAGAATTGCCAACAAAATCAGTTTTGGTCGATCTAGTATCAGTTTATATAGCTAAGGACATTTTTGTAGGCAGGAATAACATTCTCAGCAGCAGTTCCCATCTGATTAAAAGGATAACAAACAGAAAAATTTGCATCCACATTTTTTCACTATTGACTGGCTCTATAATCAACTTGATTCCAAAACAATAAACTTACCCGGTAAATTTCAGTAGCAGATTGTTTTGTGTTATATGCATAAAGGCACAATCTTATAAAATAGGAAGAACGAACTACACCAATCCAAGAAAAATAACAAAAGAAAATTTGGCAGCCTGTGCTTTAATGAGACGGATAAACTCAACATAAATTCCTAACAAAATTAACCAGCAATTTTTTTTTTTAATCCACAAATTAATCAGTGTTACTGATCAAGTTGAGAATCAGACCAAAAAAAAAAGGGGAGGGGATGCATATGCTCCTTTCAACTTAAAGTCACTTGCAAACACCTTTTCGACTATCACCCTTCAGTTTAAAAGTATCTCTTTTTCCATTGATCCGTTACTAGGGATATTTTCTGCCATTTGAAGTTTTGCCATTTGTTGGTTCGAAAGTGGCCAAAGGGAGCATCTCTATTAGCAGTGAAATTAACATATCCTGACGAATGACAGCTCAAATAGGTATTTTTCAGTCGTCGTCTTCTTGTCCCCCTCCCCCCCCCCCCCCCTCCTTTTTTTTTTTGAAGTTACTAGGTGTTTGCAAAGAGCCAACGACTAGAGGTCGAGGCATTTTTTATTTTTCCCAAATAAAAAAAAATAATACTTATCCACGATTAGCCGACAACTACCACCAAGTCCAGACCTAATTTATGCAGCTTCTCACTGACAACTCAAGTTTATCTGCCAAAACTTTAACACTCACAGGCTGAATCAAGCCATCAATGGAGCAAAAGGACGGTAAAAGAGGTCTGGGTAGGAGAAGATAAAGAGGTGGCCGGCGAAACAAACCTTTTAGGTCTCAGTGGTAAAAGGGAGGAGAGGGTGTGAAATTCTGACGAGGGAGAAAATCATCCCTAGGGTCCTTCCTCCTTCGACTCGCAAGCTTGGAGACAAAGAGCCCTTTGATCCGTAAAGAAAAGAAGAATCAAACCCTAACCCCGACGTGATTTCTCTCCTTTCGAAGTTACTCTCAGCGGGCAATGGTTTGAAATTGGCGGTGCCTGGCATTTGAATCAGGACTTCACAATCAGCCGCTTGTTGGCACGCCCGCCAACTGCCATTCTTCCCCGCGCCGGTGCCCGAAGAAGTGAAGTGACGTTGCATTCATCAAATCTCATGTCACAAGGACGCCTTCGGTAATTTATTTGATTTATGAGATTTTGATAAAATTATAATCGAAGTGAGTAACAAAAATTTGTTTGATATAGGGCGAAATCTTAATATAATTTTAATTTTAATAAAATATTTAAAAAAACATCGTGAAGTTTTTTTGAGGAGTAATCTAAACTTTAAGGAAGGATATTTTTGACTTGCCACCACTCTTATTCTTCTTTCTCAGCTTCTTTATAGACCCCCTAACATAACCTTATGCCCTCCTCTTCAGGGCACCATCGTTGCTTTTGGCGGCCTCGTACCTCCGTCTTATGTTGCTGGCTCTTGATTGGCCTACCCAATTTCAAATTCATAGGTCCTAACAGCAAAGTTATCTCTACTAAACAAAGCTTTCACTTGTTGGAATTCGTGGTGGATTCCTGCAAAAACTAAAAATGCGTAAAGTATCAAGAACTAGACAATTGAGAGTCTATTTGACAACAACTTAATTCGATTAAGGAAAAGATAAAGAAAGATGCCTAATTAAAAGTAACTTCAAAGAAGATAATACCTAGACCCCTAGATTGATGCTTTCCTTTATTTTCTTTTTGACTTTGAGGTTTGTTTTGAATTGGTGACAGGGCTTTTGTCAAGCAAAGCAACCTTCATAGTCTTTTATTTTTAAATTTTATGAAGAATTCAATTTTTTATTGCACTGAGCGCATTTACAAAAGAGGAAGAAGAAGAAGAAGTGAGATATGGATTTGGAATCTTGTAGGTGTCGAGGAATAAAGTGGGAAAGTAACAACTTAAGAGTCACAGCAACAATAGCAAGATCTTGTTGGCACGTAAGGTGAATCTCTAAACCAGTCATGCCAACCTCGAATTAAGTGGGTGGGAAGAATGGATATGGGAAGTTGCTATGTTTGTGCCAACTTGTTGGATTACCCATTTGTGCTTTCCTCTCTAAGCACTATCACTACTACTTCTGGCAACCTCATACCTTGTCTTACACTGCCAACCTCTTGATCGACCGGCCCAACTCCAAATCTATAGGTGCTTATGGCAAAGTCTTCTCTCCTAAACAAATCTCTCAATGAGCTGAAACCCAAGCTTGAATTATAACTTCAAAGGAGTTAAAATTGCCATGGCTTCATACTATTAAGAGTTTCAATTCTGTGCCAATCCTGTCACAACTCACAAACCATGCCCAGAGTGCATAGCAATATTAGGAGGAGCGACAAAAGGAGAAAAATGGTGGAAAGTCAAAAATGCCTTTATCAAACATATTTTTAATGGGTCTGCTAGATTTAATAGTGAGGTAATAATGTCTCTTTATTTTAAAGTTTTGAGATAACATTACTTATATTTAAAATAGTAAGCATTTTTCACGAAAAAATTTCATGATATCTTTATGCTTTAATTTTTTAATAAATATATTTATTTAAAATAAGAAAAGATAAAATTGCCCTCTCAAAAAAGGGAAAGCTCTCAACCTCTCCCCCATCCTTCTTCTTCACGGCATCAAACCAAAACAGTAACAACATGAGAATGAAAAATTTATTGTCCATAAGTGATGAGTTTCGAGAACCAGCATGACTGAGGCAAAAAATTCATCTTGATAGTCTAAGACTCAGTAAAGGAATGGCCTTCTTAAAGCCAACACTTGCAGACAATCTCAACCATACGATCACAACCAAATGAATTTTCAAAGTGCAAGTGGAGAACATGGATAAAGAAGGGAAGAGAAAAGCAATTACTCACACCAATCGAGCAAGTAAGAGTAGCATGGAGATTGGAAGGAAGCTGTTGAGCTGAGCTACCACCTTCTTAATGGTGGGACAAGTCCCTTAAACTCCGGTCTGAAATATTTCTTTCTCTTTTCACTTACTCACTCATTCCTTGCCCACAAAAATTCCCAATCGCCAAGCCACGAGTGCTCAATGCACATGCACAGCACATGATAAACTTGGACACTCTCATACGTAGTCTGCTTTCTCCATTTGTAAGATGAAAGTAATAAGCAAGGTAAGGGTGTATGATGAGCATAAGCTATATTCTAAAAGACTAGTCTATAGAATGGGAGAATCCCTTAAATTTATAAACCCCACTCAACTTGTAAAACTCCCCAATACAGATTCATGACAATGCCACTTCATGAAAAATAGACATCCTTGGCAACTTCACTCTACAACACCTCACTTGACCTTTTTTCGATCAAAACCTCTGTGGATAGCCCTTTTCATAACACCACCTCTCAATAAATGTATCCATGTAACGAGCACAAACTTAAAAAGATAGAGTTGAAGAATCCCTTGAATTTATAAACTTTACTCAACTTGTGAAGATTTTCTACGTGGAACTTATAACATAATAAATTAGTAATAAGGTGGAAAAGAATCAAATTCTCTGGACATGGTATTGGAATCGAATTCTACAGAGTTGGGATTCTTGAAAATGCATATTCAAGTGTACCAAACCTGCTTTTAAGGAAATCCTTTGCCAATTTCCTTTCCAACTTCAGGATTCCTAGATACCAAACATGGCTTGAATTTTTAGTTCCTAAAATTTTGGTCAAACATGATCAAGGCCCTAGTATTTTGAAATATAAGAGATTCAAATTGTATCGTTAAAACTTATTTTTCCCAATTTTTAAACTAATGCTTATGATTTTTTTTCTTGATAATATTGATAGAATGACAGAGTTTGGATTCTAATAAATTCATATTGATTATCAATTTTTTAATAGCAAAAAGATTTGAATCTCTAGATTTTGACAGGGAGAATAGCCTCTTCATTTTTTTCCTTCCTTTTCCTTCACTCCCCCAATCCTTATTATTTATATCGTTTTATAAAATGATTTTTTAATTATAGAATTAATGAGGGGTGAGTGCCAGACAAGTTGAGGGAAAAGGATAGGGGGAAGAAAATGAAGAGACCCCTAATCCATTTTGACATCCCATTCTTATTATTTAGATTAGCATGAGATGATTGGACCTAAACATGAATGGTAATGTATGTATAAAAAATATTGAAATAATTAACGAAATTACCGCTGAAAAAGATTATAGATTTTATAACTGTGTTTGGGTCTCTTTCAAGATATATTAATTAAATACTCCAACCTAATATTGAATTAGACCAATTCATTCGAATAAGATGCTAATTAAAACTAATTGACATACACTAACTACAACATATATGATATTCTACTTCATTAGGCTATATGGGCTCTATGCGTGTGGTACAGGACATATCCTGCTGTATAAAAAGCAACCAAAATCTACTAACTGCATTCATATGCAGAGAGCTCTCCCATTATTTCGAGCTCACCATCTCTCAAGCAATTGACGGGAGGGATTGTCATGGTTTGCTACGTCCCATAAGCATTCCAGCAAAAAGGGTCGTCCACTAATTCCCTTTCGTGTGGGAATAGCTCAACTTCTGAGAGCGTTATGTTGGTGCAGGTCACCGTGTCGCTGCAGGAAAAGTGTATGGGAGGGGTTCTCACATTGTAAGTTCCCTTTATGTTCCTGAACGACACATCCTTTACGTGCACGGTTGAAGTCTGGTTAAGGCATTCCTTTGACAGGTAGTAATACTGGTCTATGATGATGCAATTCCTCACGTTTTCCATTTGGATGCTCTTAAAGTCTAAGCCTGACACTGAGCCCATCCCTCCTTGCCATGTCTTGATCCTCAGCCCGTTGTCTGATTCTTTTATGATAGTATTACGAACAGTTATGTTTGAGACGCATGCCTGTGAATTGTGTACCCTAAGGCTTCCAATGCTGTAGACAAACACAGCACTCAGCTTAGTCCGGCATTCTCAGGATAGCGATTCATAGAAAATTAACATCGAAAGCGTTGTGTTTTATGGTGTATAATTATTGATGGCTTCTAAAACTCAACTTATATCGTAGCAGGGAAGAAGTACAAAAAGCAGAGACACGAATACTACAGCTAAGATTCATCAATTAGGGCTTTTAATTTTTGATTAGTCATGATTAGCCGGTTCAACTTCAATTTAATTAAGAGGAGATGTGTACCTAATGTCGTGGCTAGGACCACAAGTTACACCCTCTATGTCCACATTCAAGCACCCGGGTCCAATTGAGATGCAATCATCGCCTAACACATATAAAATGTACAAATTAAACTTTGATATTGTTATAAGATGTGCAAGTCCTTAGCCGTTACCATTGCTTATAATTGAATTGTATATCCCAACGGACTTGGTGTTCCCGATGTGAATTCCATCGATATTCGGGCTGAGTTTTGGTGATGAAATGGACAACTTGTCTATCAGTAATCCTTCGCAGCCATCGAACTTCATGTGAAACTTAGGACTATTTTGAATTCTGAGCCCACTCACTGCTAGATTTGAGCTCATGAAGAACCGTAGCATCTACGAACAAGAGTTAAGAAACGAGGCCAATAGAATCAATAATTTACAAACGAGCATATATAATACAACCTTGAGTTGAATTTTAACTTGTTCACTTACCGTAGGGCTATCACACGGTCCTCGCACTCTTTCTCTATCAGGACTCTAAAAATGAAATGCCATTTCACTAACAATAGGAATTAGTTCATTCAACATCAAATATGCTCAGCAAGAAACCACTGAGGGAGACCTAGCCCGTTAACAATGGGGTCAAATCAAAGCATTTATAAATGGTTAAAATGGTTACCTTGTGAGGTTTGCAGGGGAGATCCCACCATTGTTCCCCATTGCCTTTTATAGTTCCAGTCCCATTCAAAGTCATTTAGTCAAGTCGGTAAAACATAAGCCATTACTGCGGCTATCTGCTTCTGGCCAAGAGTCTGGTCCATCTGGTGGCATGAGAGTTCCATCCACCTGTTACCAATCGATCCTTTGTTAGTGGCTACATGGAAGGATTGAATCCAATTTGATAAATTCTTATAAAGAAAACTGATGTCATGTAGGAGTAAGCGATTCAACGAACATGCTTACTTGAAATACTAGCCATGGCTTGCACGAGCCTGAAAAGATGGTTGAAGT